CACCCACTGACCCACTCACTCACCCATCACTCCATCTCTTCTCTAGCCTGTCACTCACTCACCCATCACTCCATCTCTTCTCTAGCCCGTGTCACTCACTCACCCACTCACACATCACTCCATCTCTTCTCTAGCCCGTGTCACTCACCGACACACCCATCACTCCATCTCTTCTCTAGCCCGTCTCACTCACTGACTCTCCCACTCACCCATTACTCCCATCTCTTCTCTAGCCCGTGTCATTCACTCACCCATCACTCCACCTCTTCTCTAGCCCGTGTCATTCACTCACCCACTCACCCATCACTCCATCTCTTGTCTAGCCCGTGTCACCCACCCACTCACTCACTCATCCACCCACTCACATCACTCCATCTCTTCTCTAGCCTGTCACCCACTCACTCATCACTCCATCTCTTCTCTAGCCCGTGTCACTCACTCACCCATCACTCCATCTCTTCTCTAGCCCGTGTCATCCACCCACTCACTCATCCACCCACTCACATCACTCCATCTCTTCTCTAGCCTGTCACCCACTCACCCACCCACCCACCCACTCATCACTCCATCTCTTCTCTAGCCCGTGTCACTCACCTACACACACATCACTCCATCTCTTCTCTAGCCCGTGTCACTCACTCACCCATTACTCCATCTCTTCTCTAGCCCGTGTCATCCACCCACTCACTCATCCACCCACTCACATCACTCCATCTCTTCTCTAGCCTGTCACCCACTCACCCACTCATCACTCCATCTCTTCTCTAGCCCGTGTCACTCACCTACACACACATCACTCCATCTCTTCTCTAGCCCGTGTCACCCACCCACTCACCCACCCACCCACTCACCAACGTACCCACACACACACTCGCTCACCAATCTACCTACTCACCCACCCACCCACTCATCAACGTACTCACCCACTCACCAACGTACCCACACACTCACTCACCAACGTACCCACTCACCCACCCACCCACTCATCAACATACCCACACACTCACTCGCTCACCAATCTACCTACTCACCCACCCACCCATTCATCAACATACCCACCCACTCACCAACGTACCCACTCACCAACGTACCCACACACTCGCTCACCAATCTACCTACTCACCCACCCACCCACTCATCAACGTACTCACCCACTCACCAACGTACCCACACACTCACTCGCTCACCAATCTACCTACTCACCCACCCACCCATTCATCAACATACCCACCCACTCACCAACGTACCCACTCACCAACGTACCCACACACTCGCTCACCAATCTACCTCCTCACCCACCCACTCATCAAC